TCTCTCTCTCTCTTGTATGCCAGGTACTAACCTGTGAAGTTGGCGCTGTGCTGCAGGTACCTTGAAGACGAAACTGGAGCAACGGCGCTGCAGGTAAGTATCCCTGGCCTCCGCCCAATCTCTCTCTCTCTAGTGCTACTCTAGCTATGGCACCCCGTGCTGAAGACTACCTCAAACGCTACTAGCGCCCAGCGCTGAAGACTACTGCTAACGCTACAACTACTCCTGCAGCGCTCCTCCAGAGTGCTGCTGCCGAATCCTGAAGACTACTGACTGCCTCCTGCCTCTGCACGTGAAGTGCCTGGGAAGTACGCTCAACCTTGAGAGTCGACATTCTTCCTGGGCAGCAAGCTGGTGAGAGACGGGTGAAGCCTTTGAAGGGCCCTGGACGAAGCACTCGGGTCACGGTCACCATGCCAACCCGCTGGGACCAGTACACGCATGCTTTGCCGCAAGTCCTTGGTTCTGCTGCTGCGCAATAGAGGTCATGCAGGGCATGCCAGCCCTTTGAGAGACGCTCACCAGACCGTCTGTAAATATTTCTGGCCGGTTCCGGTGTTGAACCCTGGTTGTGATCGTCGTCTTGTCTGCGATGTTAAATAATTTGTGAGGACCTTGGGGGCTGTCCTTAAACTGCCTCTTGATCAGCCAGATCAAACCGAAAGTAAGGCTCGTTGCGTGCGATGGTAAATAACGTGCAGGGGCTGGCAGGTTCGGCATAGACTTGGGGCACAGGGGTGGGATGGATTGCACACCTTCAGACACGCCGCTCAACCAGATGCTCAGGGCATTCACACAAAGTGACCACTCAAGAAGGTCACAGGGAGAGGGGGGATTCCGGTAACTGTTCGTTGTTGTACTAATTAGATAAACTACCATCCAGCATAGATCTCCACGGGTAAACTGTTTTCTTTTTTATTATTTAGTTGTATGGACTTGTTGACAACTGACAGACAGCTGCAGATAGGATAGTGCATTCCTTGCTGCATTGCATTCTGTATTAGAGTAATCTAAAAATAGAACTAGTGTTACCTGTAGGATCTGACATTAGTTGTCATTGACCACTTGATTGTTTCTCTCCAGGCTGACCGAAAATAGTTGTATATCATACTCGGTTGGGTATCATGCTGAGGTAGGATTCAATGTGGATTCTTGTTTAGATCACACACATTGTAGCTCATGAGTGATGCAAGCAGTAGTGAGGAGGAGGAACGATTAGTGGAACCCCTGAGTTACACGTAGAACTGCTCTCAGTCGACCGATCATTTTCCAAGAGTTATCTCTAGGAGAGGAAAGGAGGCTGCGGAGGGAAGCTAGGGGGAGAGCGACATTAAGGAGGGTTAGGTCAGCAGCAGCCAACTTAGAGGCTGTGATGGCTACCGCCTACAGCATGTCACAGGCCTCGTCCCAGGCCACTTCGTCAGGGGTCAGTCAGAGTGTTTCTCAGGTTTCCGTTAGTCAGACTGTTGGTTTACAAGCCAGCCAATAGACTCAACTCACACTGGAGGATTATGAGATCCTCCAAGCAGAAGCTCTTCACGATCAGCTGAACCAGCAGCTGAGAGAGGCAGAAGAGAGAAGACAAAGAGCGTTAACGCGGAAAGCTAGATTAGGAGCTAGGAGGCAGGAGCTAGGCAAACTAGAGGCACTAGATGAGTCGATACTTGATCCTGCTATGCAGGCGCTGTGTAGTTCGCTCCTCTGCGTGGCAGAAATGCAGGTTGTACAGCAGGAAGTGCTGGGCGAACTAGTGGCAGGCCAGAAGAGAATTATGGCTTCACTGCAGGCCCCTCGTCCAATGATGAGGCAGCCTCGGTACGTTGTAGCTCCCCCTTCGGTTGCGGGTCCCTCAGTGACGCCATCGCCAGTAGGGCCCTCTTTTTCTCCTATGTTTGGCATGCGCCCTCCAGGTGGTTTTGCAGCAGCTAGTGGTCCGGTCCTTGATACTTTTTCAGTGCTATTAACGACGGTGGCAGCTACAGTGCCATCGTCAGGACATGCTTAGGTTAGCGCGCAGCAACCTGTCTCAGTGGCTATGCAGCCACTGCGGCAATCACGTGGGCAAATCCAACCCATGCAACGGATGCCCAAGATTCCCTTGTTGAGTCCTAAGCCCTTCTCTGGCGACAAGAAGAAGGATGAGGACCTGGATACCTGGGTGAGGACTGTGCCTACCTATGTGAGGCACAAGCTCACAAGGCCAGAGCAGGAAGTTATAGTCACTGCCTCCTTTTTAGAGGGCTCGGCAACACGATGGTTAAACGGGTTAGTGCAACAACAGGGCTATGGTCAGAACTTCGATGCCTGGCTCAAGCCCAGACATTGGAAGACTTCGTACGGATTGTGTATAATAGGTGGCATGACCCTCAAGGGGCTCAAAAGGCCACTGACGCGATTAACAGTCTCTGTTCCAAACGGTACCGGACTGTACGCAAAGTTACAGACGCCGTCGAACGTTTGATTGTAGTACCTGGTGTGCGCTACGACCCGCAGGTGCTCCTCACAGATTATTTGCAATGTCTGCCCACAGACGTCAAAAATAAAATGGTGGACGAGGCCAACATCGATGTCCATAGCTTCGCTACATTCAGCAAGAAAGCCTTAGACATAGAGGCTAAGCTTGGGTCCGCTCATCAGGGTCAGGGAGATGGTAGGAAGAAGCGACTTCCCCAAGACTGGAAGAAGAAAGGCCAACTCATGTTCGTCGACCACGATGGTTAGGCGACTAAGATTGACGACCTCCCATACTATGGGGATGAGACAGAGCAGGATGGGGCCAGGGAGGCTTCGGATGGGGGAGTCGTGGGGGTATCAAAGAGAAAGTTAGGGGGACTGGGAAGCAGAAGGTAGGTTGGTGCAAGGGTCAGGGCGACCAAGGAACGCCCGCATGGGTAAAACTTAGTTTAGATTACGAGGTGTGGAGGGACTGAATTCCTAGGGGTGCTTGCCTGAACTGTGGCAACTATGGCCACACGTCCAGGACTTGCGGAGGCAAGGTGGTCACTACAAAGGTAGCCTCTCCAACGGTGGTGGGCTTATCTTCGAACCCTGGCGGTGCTTCTGCGAGCACTTCGCAGGGAAACACCTCAGGCCAGTAGGAGTGTTAGCCGCTTTTACTTGGTGCTGAAGTGGCAACGTTGCCTTCCCCACTTCAGGCGTTGGCCAAGGCTAGTGACCCATCCATTGCCCCGCAGACACACCCAACGATGCTTTGTTCGAGAGATGTGTCTGACTTCCTAGAAGAGTTACAGACGGAGTGGTCAGGGAAGGACCCCAGAGACTCTTGGGCGATGATTAGTGAAGGTCCTAGGGGTGAACATTCCGTGGTAGAGGTTGATGTAGGTGTCCACAAAGTGGGTGCCTTCGCATACATAGGCTCTACACGACACTTCATCAGTCGGGTTTGTGTGAATAGGCTGCGCTTA